ATCTGACTAAATTTGTTCATTTCTTTCAAGTTTGCTCTCAAACCAAATGAAACCTTTTTTATATGTATGTTTTTATGTACAACCCACTGTCATAGCCTTTAGAGTATCCATAAAAAATCGAAAACTTTATCCAAATGTATCCACCGAAAAAAGCGGACATTTTTACACAGCACATCAATGGAAGAAAAACTCGGCCCCTTAACAAACTTATTAACACGTAGTCAGTATTTTCCCATCCTTTAGACATGGATTTAGGAAACAAAGGCCCGTAGTTATAGTCAAAATTAAGTCGACTCTAAATTTAATTGCAGCTTTTTGACATAATTTACTTTTTACTTATGACTCAATCTCTTAAAAAAAAAATGGTTTGGTCCAATACCCAGAAAAAAACACTTATTCAACGTCGGATGAATTATATAAGTTAAGAATAAGCTGCCTTTTTTTGCGAGAAGACACGAAGAAATTCAGAAAATTAAAATATTAGGATTGTGCAAAAAATCTGATGCCGTAGTTACGAAATCAAAAAAGGGATTGTCAAACTATAATATTGAATAGGTTGTATTTGTTTACAGCTCTTTTGCACAACAAATCTCGTCATGAATCCAAACAATGCAATGTTGGCCATGTTGTATATTTTTTTCCTTAAATGCAATAAATATTATTTTTTTTTCTCAACATGAATAAATATTTTCTTTAAAATCTTGAAGCATTTTTCATTTACTCTAGAGAAATTGTTTAACTTCCTTCTTAACATAAATGGTAAGTATCAATCAGTTGCAATTTAGTATTATTTTAGTCGATTGCCAAAAGTCACATAACGAGATATCAATTCGAACAATTTGGTCTATACGAAAAACTATCACAAATTCTTGAATATGGAATAGACACTTACCATCGCAGACTGCAGCGTCTTTTGTTTACAGGAATTGTTTCTCAATAATAAGATCCACAGTACAATACAAATCACAAAATGACAGTCTACAGTGTTTTTCAATCAGCTGTAAGCTTTCCCATATCTAGTGAGCTTCCGATACGAGTACAAATGAGTAAATATTCGAGTACCTCTACCAAGTACCGAGTATTTTTTGTACTTGGATACAAGTGACCAAGTACTTGGTGGGTATCGAGTACATTGTGCAAGTATTTACTCGGTCGAAAAAATTATGCAACTCTAGTCAAATTAGCAAAGTTTCCACAAATTGGATATATGACAAATTGGTTTGACACGCAAGATTGTGTTCGATTTCTAGCATGTATGTATCCCCGCCGCATCCCATGTGCTGAAGCTTTATGGTATTTCATACAACAAAAGCCTGCATTACGCAGGAAAAATACGTAGATATATACACTGTGGAAAAAAACGCGTTGTAAAAATGAAAATTTTTTATTTGATAACCGTTTAAAAATTTTCGTATTTAAATCAAGTGAAAATTGAATATTTCCATTATACATATGTACATTACGTATGTACGTTTAGCACGTTTTTTTTATTCCAAAATTGTTTCCCTTACTGTACATATTTATGTTAAAAATAAGCATATATTTTCTTATTAAAA